GTCCTCATTCACGCGTTACAATTCCTGATATAATTCTTCTCTACATTTCTTCTCTATTTCGTTGCTTTCTTTCAATATAATAAACGATTTTTTTTTTAATTAAACTGAATTAAATTGAATCCCTCGGATAAATGGTCGGCTAATGGATTTTAATAATGGTTGAATTTCTTTCTGATTGGAAATGTCATTTTTATCCTACATTTGCGTTTTTATTCACATGTTCGATGCATCGGATGTTCGATGCATACTTTTCGAATATCCCGCGATATTCAGATTCTTTAAACATTTATTAGTATTTCCGATTCTCAAGAAGGCGTTATACGAGAAAGTAAATTGTTATGAATGAATTACCTATAAAATGTATACCGAGACAAGTTTTAATTTAAGATAATGTTATCATGATTCATTTCTCAAGCTCTTGTAATAACTATAACTTACCGTTTAAATTTAATTCGGTCAGTGCGCTGAGTCGGAATTTATTAAATGAACAGCTGCTTGGAACGCAACCATCAATCGCGAAAACAACACGTAGCTACCTGAAGCGATTTCGGCAGGTGACCAAAGTGTCAGCACCTGCCCACACTTATGTACTTATGCTGTTAGTTGATAGAAAGTGTAATTTTCATGTCGTTAAATATGTAATCCGTTATAATAATAATTCTCAATATTTATATAAATAGTGTCAATTATGATTACGTATATATACATCCGTCACATAACGGTTTCGAAGTTGAAGTCTTATGAATCAAACGCGACAACACTTTCTCGAGTGCTCTCTCATACGCACTTTCAGCCAATCAATTGATATCTATTATTAATGCTTGCAGTTATAAGTTATAAAAGTTGCAGCTTTCACATGAAAATTTTATTTAAAAAAAAATTTTGTGATTTTTTTCCAGGTACCCGGAATCCAGGCTAGCGAAATTATTTAACGGCAGCATCCCCATCGTTCTGGACTCGTTAAAACAACACTACTTCATCGATAGAGACGGCGGCATGTTCCGACACATATTGAATTTTATGCGAAATTCCCGGCTGCTGATACCCGACAACTTTGCCGACCTAGATTTGCTGCTGGAGGAAGCACGATACTTCGATATTGCGCGTAAATTACTTTAACTTCACTTCGTGTATTCCTTTTTAATTTTAATGCTCCGTAGTTGATCCGTTTACGTAAAGTAAGAACAATATGGAAACTGGATTTCATGCCGGTCGCGTAATAAAACGAGGATGACCGGTTCGCGAAAAGCGTAACTTTTATTACTAATATAAATCGTGATACAACAATATATCATTTCTTTTCTAATTCTCTTCCGACCTAATTCTCGAACGACTTCCGGAATTGTCTATATGCAGTGCTTAGCCGTAATGGAATAATAACAAACTCCGAAGTAGTTGTTTACTTCATTACAGGAGTAGTACAGAATTCTGCGTTTTACAACAAAAAAAAACACAGAAATAAGGCAATGAAAATTATTCCCTCGGAATACTAATCAGTACATACATTTCGTCGATATGTAAAAATCAATGCATTTCACGCATCTGTCACTCTTTCAGCCATGTGCAGGCAATTGGAGCAAATGAAGAAGGAGCGTATAAAGAATGGTTCAACGATGACAATGACCACAACCTCGCCAAGCCCTCCGCCCACCGGTCAGCTCGGCGGTCGCGGCACCGCCTGCACCACCGCGCCCTGCAACCGCGATTCCGAGAAGATGCGCGGCAACGACGGCAACTGCAGCTACGAATGCGTGGCGTTACACGTAAGCCCGGATCTGGGCGAGCGGGTGATGCTGTCGGGAGGACGGGCGCTGCTCGACGAGGTGTTTCCGGAAACGACGCAGGCGGTGATCGATGCGCGATCCGGCGTTGCCTGGCACCAGCAGGACGCCCGTCACGTCATACGGTTCCCGCTGAACGGCTACTGCAAATTGAACTCCGTTCAGGCGATCACCAGACTGCTGAACGCCGGCTTCCGGGTGGTGGCGAGCAACGGCGGCGGCGTCGAGGGCCAACAATTCTCGGAGTACCTGTTCATCAGGCAGGCCGTCAACACTTGACGGAGCACGGCGCATCAGCGCAAAACGATCTCCAAGTCGATCCGTTGCCTGCAGCGTGACCACGACTTAGAGTGAGTGCATCTCAGAGTGAGTCCAGGAGAAGCACCTCAAGACTGCATCGCGGATAATTTGATTATTCTGATAAAACGGGGCATCTCGGTATACAAGGATAGGAGGCTGGCAATCGCAATCGCAGTTTGATGCCAAAATTCTCAATACGAAGATCTCATAACGTGCATTATAAAGTCTCTCTCGACACTTGCGTCAGGTATTTTGAACCATGAATAAGTGAATAAGTGAATAACAGAGTGCGAATAAGTTTTGCAATTTATATCAATTGATATATACATTCGCTTTACAAACCAACCTTATCAAACAGCAATGGTCTCGTTTATATGCACACGTAAGTTACAAGAATTATTTGCATGTATCTCTGATGTTATAATCTGAAATAACATTGAAAGTATTTATTGTTAATAAATCATTTTTATCATAAAATAATCATAAAACTATTGATGCGCGAAGTCCAAATAAAACTCGTTATATTTTGACGGATTTTATTATTAGTAAATTTGTAGCAATAAATTTAATAATCTGCATAAAATTTCAAAAATTTACTAAAAAATAAAAGAATGAAAATAATCGATTTTTTTAGTAACAAATTTAAGGATTAAAAAATTAAAATCAATGTATTTTAGAAACACACAGCGCATTCATAAAAATATATATATATATATGTTATGTATATATAATTACTATACTATACTTTATAATACATATATGTATAATACAGTAATTATATGTAATTACTATAAATGTCTATATTTTATGTGTAATTATATACATAATAATTATGTATACATGATATATCTATATTGTATTGGAATGAGTTTTATAAATTTATAAAAAGTTAACAAGCTGTTTTTGAAAAATTGTTGAAATATGCGGCATTTATCTGCAGTTGCGACGATTGACGCGTTCGCGGTTAGATGTGACTTAAACAGATCGTTGTTGATCGTGTGAAAAGATATTAAATAAATTATTGCGGATATTTTTAAAATAAGTATATAATTAAGTACATAGGTAGTTAAGTATATATATAGATTATTTGACTTGATATATTTTGTGATAACGACGGTCACACACGTTGAGTCACATCTAAAAAATAATGGGGCAAGCCAACAACAGCGTATAGCACAAGAAGCCTAATAATGGCAACGATGTACCATGTGATCCACAGGAAAAAAAGCCTAAGCCACAATATTAACCATATACACATTATTCCATATCTTTTTTCATTCATTGTAAAAATGCACGTGTCACAGAAACTAGAGATATAGCCATTACGCAGCTTGAAAAAGTGTGAATCAACAATATATCATACTGTCTTCTGCACGCTTTTAACGCTATTATAGGTATGGTGCGCGCAATTGTAAACATCGTTGTCCATTCCACGTGTTACGATCTACGATTTGCGTTTGAGAATATCAGATGCGCCGATTTTTAACATTGTTATTATTTAATAAAGTGTACCTATATGTATTTAAACGCCATACTAATTACTGTAAATATCGCGAATAAACGTGTATGTACATACACATATAGATCTAAATGCATATACATATATAAATGTAGCATAAACACATATTCTGCTTAAAATCATATATAAGAAAGAGTCAGAAACAACGAAATGATCGATTATATTGAAAGTCAGTTAAAATTAAAGTCTTCGAGATAATCAAATTATATCCCACCATGAAGACGAAAGGAAAGCAGCAGGAATAATAGTATTGAATCTTTTCGAGATCAGCACTGACAAAATTATACGTGCTCTTTAAACATTTTGATTATTAAGAATTAAAGAGCGAACTATAATTGCTAAGAATTCTTATAAGTATATCATTACAACTGATTTAATAAAATATTTATTTTACGTTTCAGGAAAACGTAGCGATCTCTCTTATTGTTTTATATGCATATTCCTTAACGTCCAAGAAACCAATAAAATATATTATTTTTATTTTTTACAACAGCTGCGGCTCATGTTTTATGAATAGTTTAATTATCACTGCCTATTTTCCGAGACACTAAACAATATTGTTAACGGCACGATCGAGATTTTTCCCCTAGAATAGAGACAATAAATCTTCTATTCGAGAAATGAATAAAAATATAGAGACTGCAAAATTATTGTCACTCGCAATCAATTCTCGATTGCTGTGGATGTTGCGCCTGGAGCAAAAGAATTTTGCTCCACACAATAAAATTATTAGTCGAACAAAATCGCTAGCAGAGAACATGGAGATCAGAAAAATTCATTGCAAGATAACAGGACGTCATATAACAAGGAGATTTCGTATTTCTTGATTATATGCAATTATCCCTATCTTGATTAAGAAACTTTTTCCCAAAAAAGAGATAAAATTTTGAAATGTCAACATAGAAACGCAAATTTGCTTAGTACGTTAAGAATCTTAGAATTAAATTATTCAAATTGTTTCAATTTTGATGTCAATACTATCATACCTACACGTACATTGCTACTGCAAATTAATATCACATAACAGAAATAAAAACAGTTTAAATAGTTAAATTCTAAAAAATATTGTTCAAACGTTTGTATAATTCAATCTTATTCAATTGTACTTTTCATTTTCTTTCTCTAATTCTTTTTCTCAATCAAATAATGAATTAATAAAAAAATGAAAATAATGGCATGCCTCCTTTTTCCTTTTTTTATTTAGCTATGTAATAATAAGTACGATTATTTTTTTCTAAATATCAATAATTAATTTAATTACTGTAATAAATCAGCATAAAAATTTACTAGTGTATGTTTCAAGTAACCAACAAAAAAAAGTCTAATTTATGCCTTTAAAAAATTAAAACTTGTTTTAGATGTTCTCTATTTTGTAAATAAATTTTATAATTTATATAATTTTATACGTCTCATGGAAACTTATGAAGAATTAGAGTATAAAATGCATGTATAAAATAAATATATAAGATACTTTCCTTATAAGATTTAATAATCTGGCTAAACGATTATCAGGAAAGAATTCTTAATTCTTTGCGGTTATTTAATGACATTCATCTTATATCCACATCTTATATTACATTTGACAAATCTATTTTATAAATTCACTATCTCAAAAATAAAACAAAAAATTTAACACTCACCGGCACAAAACGCGCAGCAGCGGCACCGTAATACATTAATCTGTAATACATAAATATATATACAAATTAAAGCAGTATCCTCAATATATTCGCAATAATTAATAATATAATAAATCATCACGCGCACTGATATTTTTATTCTTTTAAACAGATATTTGATTTTTAAAATGCTACTATGCGAAAAATAACTAAAGTCACTGCTAATTACTATCGCGTATTTCAATTAAGTTATCTATATAATCAATCCGTATTATATTTGTCCATATGGATAAGTAAGACTACGATCGTACGGAATTCACTTGATGAAACTATCGTGCATTCGCTCTATATCGACGCGATGTTGAAATATTAATCTGGTGGCATTTCTTTCATTGTCAATAGAAAGGCACTTAGAAATCTTCGAAGTGGCAATATTTGCATGCCATTGAATAATATTAAATAATCAAATTCCCAAAAATATTGATCGAGCATTTGTTTAATTAAATTTTTGTTCAGTTCTACTCACACTCTCTCTCTCTCCCCTCCCCCTTTCTCTCTCTTTCTCTCTCTCTATAGACAAACTAATAAAAAATTGAAAATAAATAATTAAATGTCTTTTTCTAGCAGCATCCCTTTATTTATTTAGCTACTCATTAATATAATAAGCATGATCGTTATAATGATAATAAAAGCAATGATGATCTATTTCTAAATAAATAAATAAATAAATATAATAATTACACTTACTTTATCGGTTGTTCCGCCGATACCTATTGGCCCTATTGCCTCGGCCTAACCTCGTCCTTCTCTCACGTATCTCCGTTTTTGTTTTTGCAACACCATGCTGAATTTCTTCATAAAAACATTAATTATAGTACTTGCACAATGGTACTTGCACGAGATACTTCCGAGGTTAATAATGCTCATTCGCGAAAACGAGGTTAGTCGCAAGACTCACGCGCACTAATTGGCAAAAAATGCGACACTCACACAGTGTCACACTTCGCATGGCACTTCGTATAGCGACAATCGGACGATTATACGCACTTTTACGAGGCCGCGGAAGGATGATGCGGACAAGATACGATCACGCGAAGACAATCCGCTCGATATCGATTACGATCCGCGATGTTGCGCGAGCGCGAATAGACGCCACGATCTAGCGGTCAACTCGTTAACTTCACGCGTCAGCTGTTAGGCCTGTCAGGCAGGCCGCAGGGACGACGTCGCGAACTCGCGATAACGCTACACCTGTTGCTCCCGCGGCTACACTTCACGCACTTTTTGCACTTTTCATCACAATCATCGCTCGCATTTTATTAACAATTATCCTATATATCCTGATACGAGTAAATAATACGAGCAATATGAATAAATGCACGGATTAAAAGCATGACTTAAATAATATCCGCGATACGCGCAACATGTACGTACATCTAAAAACGTCGGCGTCGCCGTTCGCGCGATGGCTCTCGATCGAATATCGCGAAATATGCATTCATTTTGACGATTTATCGAAATATCCCGGTCGATCCGTCTTTGAGCGATTATTAAATACTAAAGCGCGGCTAAACAAAGGATAAATGACGATTATATTTACTACTACTGCACGACGCGTCGTGACGCCGCGCGCCGCTCGACACGACGTTCCGTATTGGATTCCGTATGACGACGGAAATACGAAATTGACGGCAACTTCATCCCAATATCGCGCGCCACAACGCGAGTCAAATTAACAGCTAATAAAAACGCAATCGGTCATTCGAAAGCAATCCCAGCGCATATCCAACACATTTCACACGTATAAATTTAGGAAAAATATTATTAATAAATATATTAACAATGAATAATGTAACGTGATTTGTCGTTAGCGAGTTACTCGATTTGATTTAATTTGCGTATATCTTCCGCGCGTTCGGTCTGATTTACGCTTGAATTAGATTTGGCGCAAAACTCAAATTCGATTAGCGAATCTAAGTCAAGCTACTGTCATGGGTAAAGAAAAAATTATCGGCAATAAATAATGTACGAATGATCAAGTCGACTCCTGAATTTTTTATATCTGACAATCGAGTTTCTATTAAATTAATAAACAAAAACTTTTGTCCAAAGATTCAATAATGTTTATTTCTACCAGACATAGATTAACTTTAATCTAGATCTAATTTATTTTTTTTTAATTCTTAGAACTAGAAAAAAATAAATTAAACCAATTAATTAAAGTTAATCTATGTTGGACACATAAGAAACTCATATCTTGGCAAAAATAAATAGAATTTGTTATCGAGATGGCGGATGTATCGATCGGCTTGTAGTTTCAAACGTATATGAATTAACGTTTTAATAACAATCAATCGTTATTATTTTATATAAATAGATTGTTGAATATACGTTTGCCGTAATGGCTATCGCGGTTTTAGCGTACCGACAAGGGATTACGAGGTGCCACAAGCATTATTGAGTTTTCTCATCAAATCTCACTGAATGAGGCTGTCTGTCTTCTCGTCAAGCTGTTGAAAGATCATTCCGGTAACGCATGCTTGCGCCTGGCAGCGAAGAGGGACCACGAATTCCACGTGAAATTCCTAGTGAAATTGCATTCGGTTGCAATGTCTGGACGGCCGTGCCCCATTCGAGAACGTGCGACGAATCCTGCAGTTTCTGGGTCTTATCCAAGTCAATTGGGAATTGAACAACTTCGCAAAAAGGGCCGGTCACTTCGAGAAAAGAATGTGGTGAGAAAGCGTGGAATGTAAATAATTTTCGCGCCGTTTTATTCAAAAAGAAAAAGGATAAGAGAACGAGAGATATACCGAGTATTTTTCATAAATCTAAAAATATTTATTTATTTTTTAATAATTTACTGCATGTAACGCAAACCGCGAAAATGTGGCGATAATATTGAAATATGTTAAAAATGTACTAAAGCATAAATGTTACTTCAGCGTTTTAACTATCGTTATTATTTCATACTGTAGAAAATATTAAATAGAAAAATCTATAGGAAAGATCCATTTAAGAAGGAATTTAAAAAAAATTAATCTGTATACAAATCTATATAATCTCGACCAGTTTAAATGCCGACTGTGCAAGGATGAAGCGCACGTGAGAGGCGAAGTAAGAGAGCTCATTGGGACCACGTTGATCACGTAACCGCGGGAATAAGGGATAAAGCGCACAAACGTCGTGCCCTCGGGCCCCATCTCCATGGTTACCATGAACTCAATATCCGCGTCACCCGCGGGTTTCACTAGCCTCGGGCTGTCATCCCTCGAATCCACCTCGGCGAAACGTTCTCTCTCTTGCTCTCTCTCTTCTTCCTCTGCCTCTCTGCGTCTCGTCTCCCCCGATGTCTCTCTTACTCTTCCTCTCTCTCTCCTCGTCGAGCTGATTATATTCCATTTCTGGATTGCCCTGGCCACCTTAATACCGAGTTCTCCGATATACATGACACGAGGCCACAGGCTACGTGAAAGACAGGCCTTCTAGATATGAAATTCGAAGATATCTGGAACTCCCATCGTCACTAGTTCACCTAAAAGTCAACCGGTATTTTGTAAGACATTTTGCTTTTTATTCTGTTACATGCTGCTTTCAACTTCGTCTCGTCTTCATTGGAAGCGTAAAATTAACTCGACGTCAGCTACGCATAAAGAAGTTTTCAAGAGCTACAAGAGCTTAAATTGACGATATAGATCTTATTTATATTAATTAAAAGGAAAATTGCTTTAAATGAATGTCAAAAGAAAATCGTAAATGCGAATTTTTTATCATCGCTTCCAATATCCGTCTCTTTAATCTTTTTATTTAAAATTCTTATCTTTTAATTTATAATTTTTTTGTTTTTATAATCAATGGTAATATGTAATAAAATTACAATTCATTTTTATTAAAATTAATTTTGAGTTTTATTTTCACTATATTATTATATGTGTATATAATTACAGACAAATAACTAAGCATATTATCATTTCATATATTAGTCTCGCCTATTTAGATCAAAATATCATGAATAGAAAAAATGTTTTGAAGTGATGATATTATCTATTATGAGAAAAGAGTTAATAAAATACTTTGAAGATTATTGCATGATAAATCGATTACATTTATAACATTGGAAATAAATTGCCTAAATCACTTGGAAACGCTTGCTAATGTTTCAAAAAATGGATTTGTTCAAAAAATAAAAGACTACGGATGTATATGCGCGCCAAATATATGCCGATAAGTAACAAAATTCACAATTGCGCATAAACAATTCATTGTTGAAAAGTCTCAAAAAATTTAAAGTTATATATATTTTTTAAAGAAATTAAATATTTGACGCAAATTAAATAAAGTTAAAACTCAGCTTATCTTCTACGACGTTAGACGTTTCCAGAAAATATTAAACATAACATAATTCTGCAATGTAAAAAAATATAAAAAGAAAATTCTATTCTTTTAATGATCACTTTAATACATTATAGAATTAAAAATATCTTACTAAAAAAAATGAAGAAATGGTTTGCATTTCGACGAGATTTGTTTTTATATTTTATTATTTCATGCTTACTGTTTACCCAGTACAATTTATAAAAATATCATAATGTACCAAAATTGTAATGTACTATTATTTTTTTATATTCTTTCTCTATTTATAGATATATTAATATTCCACCTATTGGCAGTAAAGAGAACATTATGATTTATGCACGTTTTACGTTTTATTTCGAGTTTGTAAAAAACCGTATAATTGCAGAGGAACAATACAGCTAACAAGTGAGGATTTTTATACGCGATGTGCTCAGTAAAAATTGGTACATAATGATGGTTTCGCTTCCCAAATAAAGTATGCAATTATTAAAAACGACTTATTTACACAAGGTATACACAACTGCCATTATTTCTGTCACGATAGATCGTTTAGATATTAATTCAATAGATCAGACGGGCATTATTTTTAGTTTAAATTTCAGCATGTATAAATGCTTCTCAATCGCAATAGCTCTTTCAAAAATGATCATAATCAATTGCAATGACAGAAAAAATAAATTAAAGTACTTATATATACATATACGTACGTAAATTATGTCGTCTCCGATTATCCCTCCCATATTAACGCTTCAGATGTATGAAATTCTACATAATGATATCATTTTTTTTTCAATTACATAAATTTCGTGCTATAATACATTACAATTCATAGGTTCAAACATATTTTTTCCCTACGCATCATATTCGTTCAGTCTTCTTTTTACGTGAAATCGTCGGCCAATTAAACCAATTATCGCGTGTAACAATAACTAACAATTATGATTATTACACGCGTATCCATTCTGATTATTGACATCTGAAAGCTAAGAGACGTTATCATACGTCGGAATATATTATAATAGAATTATTAATTTATTGTGCTCCTCTGTTCAAAGCTGGAAGCACAAAAATTGCTGAAGTAACAAATACTAAATGTTGATGTAAATTACTCAGCATTCAGCATAGAATACATGAAGATATTCCATAACGAGACACATTCTATGCCAAATAATCTAATCAACACTTAAGTGTGGATTAGTAATAAAGACGACATACTGCTGTTTCGCAATAGGCATTTCAAAGATTGGCAGTACTCGAAAGTACGTGTGAGATTTCTTTTTACTGTAATTAATAATATAAATCTTGTCGTGTGACATAAACTCTTTATATCTCTCGTTATATCAAAAATTGATAATTAAAGTAACATGAAGTAAAATATTTTAATAAAAGTATTACCAGAGTATGAAAGATTAATATGAGAGCTGTAAAACGATGTGAGGAAAATATTTACTAAAAATATATTAATAACGTTTTATACGTATAAAACATATATAAAACATTATTAATTATAATGATGAATATATATATTTTCCTAACCGAGAAAGAATACGGACATGTAAATAGTACAATATAAACCGACATAATAAAAGGATCAATAAAAACAGACATTTTAAGCACTGTTCTCTATGATCTCAGGCACCCACGTACATTTGTGGTTACTTCTTTTTACATGTAAATCAGGTACTCGCTTTGAATTTGTTTTAATTGATTATGCAAAGTATTTCTGCAAAAGTTCATTAGTATTAGCAGAATCCGCAAAATTCCGAGAAGGAAATATAAATAATTAAATTAATGTCAATCAAAAAAATATTGGTTATTCTTAGTTTTGTAAATATTTCTTTAATAAAAAACGTAACAGCTAATTTGTTTTATAAACACTGAAAATGTTGATTGCAATATACAACATAATATACTGATAACAATTCCAACTTTCGGTGGAGAGTAGCTATATTCTGTTGTACCAACATTGAAATTATCACTATTAGTAATTATGTGTAAGATATTGTACAAATTATTCCATACTTTTTGGACAGTGTGCTCGCGGTATCATTATTATTATTATTAATATTATTATTATTATTACATTACACTTTGCAAAAATACGATTTACTATTATAACAAAACTTGCTTATTTTACACTAGCGCTACAGTGTCCAAAAGTATAGGTCAAGTATTACAATGCAGCGAGCCTATACGTAGTGACAATGTACATTCATTCACTTAATGTATATTCACACATACATTTACCATATAACAATATTTTATATGGCCACGCATACAGTCGCACATATACAATGTTCTCTCATTCTCTCTCTCTCTCTCTCTCTCTCTCTCTCTCTCTCTCTCTCT